AGGAAGGAAGGAAGGAAGGAAGGAAGGAAGGAAGGAAGGAAGGAAGGGCAATAGCAGTAGCACTTAGATTTATATACCGCTTCACAGTGCTTTTACAGCCTTCTCTAAGCGGTTTACAGAGTCAGCCTATTGCCCCCAACAATTTGGGTCCTCATTTTACCGACCTTGGAGGGATGGAAGGCTGAGTCAACCTTGAGCCGGTCAGGATTGAACTGCTGAAGCACAGTCAACTGGCAGTCAGCAGAAGTAGCTTGCAGTAGTGCCTACTAATCATGGCACCATCACGGCTGTTGATAACAGTCAAAACAAATCGACAGCAGATTAGTCATAATGGTCAAACAAGTGGCAACTTCAAATCTCAACAAATTCTCTGTCTTACATATTGGCAAGAAAAATCAAAAAATAAAATACGTCGTTGGAAGGACAAGACCTTGTAGACGACTCTCACTCTGTCAAGGACCTTGGAGTTCTCATCTCTGATGATCAAAGTGCTACAGCCCACTATAACATTTCCCAAAAAGGCATTAAGAGTTGTTAATCTAATCCTGTGAAGCTTTTTTCTCTGGTAATATTATACTACTAACTAGAACATACAAAACATTTGCTAGACCAGTTCTCGAATACAGCTCATCTGTCTGGAATCTGCATTGCATATCGCACATTAATATAATCGAGAGAGTCCAGAGATATTTCACAAGAAGAATACTCCACTCGTCCGCTCGCAACAGAATTCCTTATGCCACCAGACTTGAAATTTTAGGCTTAGATAACTTAGAACTACACCACCTTCGGTCTGACCTAAGCGTAGTACATAACATTATCCATTACAATGTCCTACCCATCAATGACTACTTCAGCTTCAATGACAACAATGCAAGAGCACACCGTAGATGCAAACTCAAGGTAAACTGCACCAAATTCAATTGCGGGAAATACGACTTCAGCAACAAAGTGGTCAATGCCTGGAATACTCTACCTGACTCTCTGGTTTCTTCCACTAACCCCAAACACTTTAACCTCAGACTGTCTCCTGTTGACCTCACCCCATTCCTAAGAGATCCGTAAGGGGGCATGCATAAGTGCACCAGTGTGCCTATCGTCCCTGTCCTAATGTTCTCTTTTAATTTGATTCCATTTCATGTATTCATAATCCTGTTTACACTTATATATATTATCAAATGCATGTTTGACAAAATAAATAAATAAAATAAAAAATAAAATCAATAAGAGTCATTGAAATTCAAGGTTGGCTGGACTTAGTTCTCTGTTGTTGGGCACAAAGGGATTCGAGACTCATGACGCATTTCACCCCTCCCTCGGGCTCATCCTGGCCACCTCCCACATAGATTCTGGTCTACCAATTCTGTGTACCGTCCTACTTCTCTCTCCCCCTTTTAGGACATTGGTGATGGGGGCGGCTGGCTCCCTCCTGCTTGACTGGTATGGATGGGAAAGCGTCTTTTATCTTACAGGCCTGCTCACCTTGCTCTGGGTGTACTGCATGTGTAAATTCATCCTGCCACAAAAAGGTAAGTAACATCTTTTCCCCCTATCTATAGGACAGCTCTTGATCAGAACAGAGCTGGAAGGGACCTTGGAGGTCTTCTAGTCCAACCCCCTGCTCAAGCAGGAGACCCTATACCATTTCAAGAGACTGTCCAGATTCTGACCAGTTCTGGAGAGCCTGTAGCAGAAATTTTGAGTAGTTCGGAGAAATCCCACCTCTGACTGGCCCCACCCCCATCTGTTCTCTGCCTCCCGAGTCCCAGCTGATTGGCTGGGTCTTCTTTCATTGCCCTGCACAGGAGAACAGAGCTGGAAAGCAGGTTAGTGGGATGAGGAGGGAATGGAGATTTTGCAGTATCCTTCCCCTGCCACGTCCACCAAGCCACGTCCACCAAGCCATGCCCACAGAACCGGTAGTAAATTTTTTTGAAACCCACCACTGACCTATAGGATTTTGCCTGGATCCCTCTTGTACCTTTTTGACTCATGGACAGCTTACTTTGCAGATTTCTTGCTTTGCAATCGATTTAGAACCAATTGTACTAGTATTGTTTCATTTATCCTTTACAGCAAACTAGTTCTTGTGGTTAATGTGGCTCTAGAGAGCCATTTACGATTGTAGTTCTGGGAAGGGCAGGATTCTGTTAAATACTACGAACACAGGATGTGCAAAAATCTCTCCTCCCAAATCACTGAGTTTTGCATTTTCCTATTTATAACCACCTACCTGTTTATATTTTGCAGAAATAATAGTCTCACTACATGACTTGGCAAAGGGTCTTTCCTTATCATCCAAACCAACCAAAGTGCCTTGGAGAAAAATATTTAGAAAGCCTCCCGTCTGGTAAGTTTCTGTCCTGTTAGCATTTACAGTTTGTTCAATTGTCACAGTTTTGGGGTTTTCTAATCTGATTCCTTAAACTGCTTGTCTCCCTTGGGAAATGAAGATGGCTTAAGAAATTCCTAACCGAAAGTTCGAGTCCTCTTTTTGTGATGGCTGTGGTGATATGAGAATGAGGTCTTCATTGCTGTATTCCCCTGCTTATTCATCCTTTCTGGAGAAGGAAGGGAGGGAAGGTATGAAGGAGAAAGGAAGGAAGGAAAGAAGGAAGGAAGGAAGGAGGGGGATAGGAAAAAGGAAGGAAGACGGAAGGAAGGACAGAAGGCAGGGAGGGAGGGAGGGAGGGAAGAAGGAAAGAAGGAAGGAGGGGGATAGGAAAAAGGAAGAAGGAAGGAAGGAAAAAAAGAGGGAAAGAGGGTGGAAGGGGAGTAGGAAGGAAGGAAGGGGATAGGAAAAGGAAGGAAGATGGAAGGAAGGAAGGCAGGATAGAAGCGAGGGAGGAAGGAAGGGAAGAATGAAGGAAGGAAAGAAGGACAAGAGGGAGGGAGGAAGGAAGGAAGGAAGGAAGGAAAGAAAAAGGGGATAGGAAAAAGGAAGAAGAAAGGAAGAAAGGAAGGAAAGAAGGAAGGGAGGGGATAGAAAAAAGGAAGGAAGATGGAAGGAATGAAAGAAGAGAGGGAGGTGATAGGAAAAAGAAAGGAAGGAGGAAGCAAGGAAGGAGGAAGGAAGGACAGGAGAGAGGAAGGAAGAGAAGAAGGAAGGAAGAAAAGAGAGAAGGAGAGAGGAAAGGAGGGAAAGAGGAAAAACCATATACAGGTAGTCCTTGGCTTACAACCATTCATTTAGCAACTGTTCAAAGTTACAACACTATAAAAAGTGACTCCCAACCAGTTCGCATGCTTACCACCATTGCAGCAACGCCTGCACGATTCACTTAATCGATGCAGCGATTTGCTTAACAACCAGAGCAGGAAAGGCCATAAAATTCAGCACCACTCGCTTAACCTCCTTGTTAGCAATAGATATTTTGTCCCCATTGGTGGTTATAAACGAAGGGCCACCTGTGTGCTCTTCCTGGGAGCTGTGACCCTTTCAAAGTCTTTGAGAAAATGTTGCATGTATGCACTTGTGAAGTTCCCCTGAACCTGGTGATGGATTTCCCCAGGGCGGTGATTGTTGCTCAGTTGTGCGCGGCTAGCACTTTCTTCACCCTGCTCTCCTGGCTACCGACGTTCTTCAGTGAAACGTTTCCCGATTCAAAGGTAAGTGCATATCCTTCATGAGAAAGGGGGGGAAAGGTTGTTGTGGTCCGTCGGCAGCCGGCAGAGTTGGCAGCAGAGTCGGACACTGGGGAGGAACATGGGCCAGTTCTGGAGTCTGGGGAGGGCTTGGATGAGGGATCTGCGTCCGACACAGAGATGGGGCCAGGGCCATCTGGGAGTTATGTGCTGACTCCAGAGCCTCCAGAATCTAACATCAGCAAGGAAGAGGAACAGGGGGAGCCTGTTCCCAGTGCACGCTTGCGCAGAGCTGCCAGAAGGCAAGAACAGTTAAGACAAAAGGGGCAACTCGGAAGTAAGGCTTGGAGATGATTGGCTCCTCCCATAAGACATAAAGGACAAGCAAAAGGACATGAGCCTTTGCAGGAAGCAACTTTGTTCGTTCTGGTTGATATAAAATCCGAAGCTCCGTGTTGACTTTGTGCTCCGTTTGGCCTTGTACAGCTAATTGGCAATTTAGTTGTTGGCAGCGTTTCAAGGAAGATAAAGGTGGGTGCTTATCAGCCTTATCTCAAAAGACTGTGGCAGACTTCTGTTGGACTATTCACAAACTGTTTGGGACTCATTACGGGCTGTGAATGCATATAATTCACAGCCGTTGAAATTTATTTAAAAAGGGGGGTTTGGGAACAGCGTGTGATCTCAGGAAGCCTTGGTCAGAACAGAGGTTTTGTTCGACCCTGGAGTAAACTTTGCATTCTTCAAGAGAGTCAATCTATCAATCAGGATAGCAATAGCACTTAGACTTATATACTGCTTCGTAGTGCTTTTACATCCCTAAGCGGTTTACAGAGCCAGCCTATTGCCCCCAACAATCTGGATCCTCATTTTACCCACCTCGGAAGGATGGAAGGCGGAGTCAATCTTGAGCTGGGTGGGATTTGAACTGCCAAATTGCAGGCAGCCAGAAGTCAGCCGAAGTAGCCTGCAGTACTACATTATAACCACTGTGCCAATTCCTATAACCGTTCTCTGCATGTTTTAGCCTCCATCTTTGTTGTTCTTCTTGAACTCTTTCTAGAGCCTCAATATCTTTTTTTAGAATCAGAATAGAGCTGGAAGGGACCTTGGAGATCTTCTAGTCCAGCTCAAGCAGGAGGCCCTATATTATTTCAGACAAGTGACTGTCCAGTCTCTTCTTAAAAACCTCCAATGATGAAGCACCTACAACTTTTCTTCCATTTTTGTCTCTTTCCCACTTTTAAAAATGACGGAGCTTTTCTTTGTATGGCTTGCGCTTATCAATGTTGACTGTATTAAAAATTAAAATGGACTCATTCAACTTCGCGATTGCTTCTCATGATTGTTTGATGGGATTTTAATATAGGTAGTGTAGAAAGTCAGCACCCACCTACCCTCCTAGAGAATGAAATATTTTGGGGAATATTAAAAAGGGAGGACAGAATATTTCCCCTAAAGGAGAAATGGGTGTGTGTGTGTGTGTTAAGGGAGGCAGAAACCAGCCCCCAGTTTCCCTGCCCCAAGCAGAAACTGAGGAGGCCAGCTTTTAGAAATGCAGATTTGATAATCCATTCAGAAAGACTGGGTCAGACAGAAACTCCAGATAAGCAACAAGCTAAAGGTTGACAAGATTAGCTCAGACAAACACTTAAGATTTGCATTTCCCCTTTTACCTATAGAGCCAGCCATGACCCCTAAATGACCCCATAGGAATCCAGAAGGTGTTATAAAAACCCTCATTCTCAACTCCATTTTGTCAGCTGTCCCAGAACTACACGCTGCTGGTGGTTCTGCTTCATCAGTAAACCAGCTTTCTTTCCAATCAGCCTTCATTTTATTCCTGGCTTGGAACTGGAAGTGGATTTTTCTTCCAACAGTCGTCATAGATTAACAACCATTTATTTAGTGACTGTTCGAAGTTATTAAAAAATGGACTTATGACCGTTTTTCACACTAAAAACGAGATGACTGCGAATCTTTCCATTCCCCACTATTCAGTCAGATATGAAGAAGTGTCTTGGACGAGAAGTGAAGCGTTTTCAGTGAAAACAATCAACCAATCAAACCGCTTGCCTTCAGAAGTTGTGTGAACTTCATCCCTGGAGGCTTTCAAGAAGAGACCGGACAGCCATCTGGTCAGAAATGGTGTAGGGTTTCCTGCTTCGGCAGGGGGTTGGACTAGATGACCTACAAGGTCCCTTCCAATTCTTTTATTCTGCTAAAAAAAAAAAAATCAAGAAAATCTCGATGCCTTTTGGAAAAGCATCTTGTGTTCTCAGTTGTCTTCCTTTTTATGGCACCCTAGGTGCTCCGAGGAAATCAGGCATAAATGCCAGTGGTGAAAAGTAAACAAATAATTGTCAGGAGTTTGCCTCCACTTTGCTCCACAGTGGCTGCAAATTGAAATTTGGATAGCAAGCCTTGTTGTGGTTGAGTAGCACCCCCTAGTGGTCAGACCTGCAAATGACAAAATAATCCCTTTTTGTCATACAGTGTGAAGAATGTGTCACTTTTTTTTGCCACTCAGGTTCTTCTAGATTAGAATAATGATTTTTAGTGCTCCTGGTCAAAAAAGCTATCCCGTTTTCCCCTGTGTCACCGATTTGTGCATGTATTTTAATTATTTCATTTACAAGTCCTTGACTTACTAGCAGTTCATTTAGCGATCATTCAAAGTTACAAGGGCATTGAAAAAAGTGACATATGACCATTTTTCACATTTACGACCATTGGAGCACCCCGCATGGTCGTGTGATGAAAATTCAGGCACTTGGCAACTGACTCCTGTTTATGACGGTTGCAATGTCCCTGGGTCATGTGATTCCCGTTTTGAATTTCTGACAAGCAAAATCAAGAAGGAAGCCAGATTCACTTAAACAAATTGATCGTCGAATAAATCGACCCAGGGTTCACAGTCGAGGCACAAATGACCAGCATCAAACTGTCCTACTTTGGACCAATGGTGCGATTCAACTGGTATAACAACCCAGAGGTGGTATTCAGCAGGTTCCAACCGGTTCTGGAGAACCTGTAGTGGAAATTTTGAGTAGTTCGGAGAACTGGCAAATGCCGCCTCTGACTGGAGATTTGACGGTATCCTTCCCCTGCCACGCCCACCAAGCCACGCCCACAGAACAGGTAGTAAAAAAATTTGAACACCACCACTGGAACAACCGGTTCAGTGAGCACGTGCTTTACCCACATGCACTACATCAATCAATCAACTTTTACTGTCGGAGTATAGCATGTGTACAATGAGATTGGCTGAGCCTTCCTTCGTGCACCTCTCCCCACAACACAATTCACAGTGAAGACAGAAGTCCCTAACTCAGTCCCAATCTTATTACACTACGTGACCTTGTTACACATTGCGCCGGCCCCGCAAGTCTATCATACTATGTAGACATGAAGTTATTTTCCGTTCAGGAGTCTGACAGCCCACGGGTAGACACTGTTCATCAGCCTGTTGGTGTGGCTGGTATTGTGTCCTGTACAAAGGCAGATAGATAAACTCCACAAAGCATCCATACTTTTTTATTGGTTCATCAGGCATCCTCAATAACTCACAGTTATGATGAGATTCTTCTTAATGTCCAATCCTTTGGTTATCTCTTATCCCTTTCATCCCATATTGTTGAAGCAAGGGGTAGAGATGCTACCATCTGTTCAGGCAAGAGTGAAGAAACCTCCCCCAACCCACCAAGGGTCAATTCAGTGACCAATCAGGATTACAGATGTGGCCACATGACATGAACTACATTTCCCAGGATACCTTAACTACATTTACCATGATGCATTCCCTTAAGGGGACAGCTCCCAATTCCTAACAAACTATCCAATCCCCACTGACTATAACCGGCTGGACAGCAACAGCTGGCTACGCCTTTATATCTCCTACCCGATGGTAGGAGAGTGAAGAAGTGCTGACTGGGGTGTGAGCTGTCCCTGAGAATTTTCCTCACTCTTCTAAGGCAGCGAGCCCTAGCGAGGTCATCTAGTGGTATCAGGGAACAGCCCATTTTCAACTCAATTACTTACCTTCTGCTGCAAACCCTGGGACTAAAACAGCAGAGGCATGGCAGAGCAATCCGTGTGAATCAGCTTTGCTAAAAAACCAGGAAATAGAGCACAGGAAAGAACAGGGGCAGGTAGGTAGGACCAAATGCTCACCAGAACTACCAGTTCAGCAGAACCGTTCTGAACTGCTAGAATCCCACCCTTTCTTTGGACACATTATGTGAAGACCCAACTCTTTGGAGAAGGTTTTTGATACTGAGAAAGGTAGAAGAAAAGAGGACAACCAACAGCAAAGATTCCATGGGGTGGTGGTGGTGATGAGCGCACCGTTAGAAGACCTTAACCAGGTTAGGGGTAGGTGGCCAGGAAGAGAAACCATGATCAGTAGGAAGTGGAAATGATTTGATGGTACTTAGTCAACTTAGTTAATCCTTTCAAGGAGGAGTGTCCAACCTTGGCAGCTTTAAGATTTGTGGACTTCAACTCCCAGAATTGGGGAATTGAAACCCACCAGTCTTAAAATTTGGCAAGATTGGGCATCCCTGCTTTAAACCTTTGTAGCTGCCACTTAGTGATTCTTTCCTTGGAATTTCTTAGCATGGAAGCTCTACAGATACTTATTTCTGCAGTATCTTTTTTTTCCCCAGGGCTGGATTTTTAATGTAATTCCTTGGCTGGTGGCAATTCCATTCAGTTTGTTTGCTGGATTCCTCTCCGATCAATGTGTCAGTCAAGGTATTTTGTTCTTGGTTTCTTTAATTTCTGAGTTGTCCATTCAGAACCCAACAGTGACATGCTGCTACTGTTCAGGGTCGGGAAACAGTATGGCTGATTTGCAGCGATTTAAAGTTTCTCTCCTTAATACCGATTCCCCGAAAATAAGACCTATCCTGAAAGGTAGTCCTAGCTTGATTTTTACATGTGTGCCCAATATAGGCCCTATCCCAAAATAAGCCCTAATTAAGATCCCACCCACTCCAGAGTGGACGGGTAAAATTAAGCTATGGTGGTGATAGGGGGCGGTGGAGCTTTTCTACTACTTACCTTTGGACAGTTGTACCCCAGACCTCACATATCCCGACACCTACCTTGCTGGCCTATTTCTTCTACGAGGCTGGCAAGGCTTTCCTGAAATCCTCTGCAGCTGATAACAAAGCTCTGGATCGATCCTGTCGATACTTCACTGTCAGAGGCCTTCAGGAAAGCCTTGCTAGCCACAAAAAACGTTCCTGAAGGCCTCTGACAGTGAAAAGGAGGCGATGCGCACAAGTGAGGTTGGTCAGTGGATGACATCCCCCCAAAATAAGACCTGGTGCCTTTTTTTGGTGGCAGAAAAATTATAAGACACTTATTTTCGGGGAAATACGGTATTTACTTCTTGGGAAATTCAAAGGTGAAAAGTATTGCTTCTAATTGGGGTGAGGAAGGGGGGAAATTAAAGATAGGATATGACGAATAGCAAAGGCAAAGGAGAATTAATGGTTTTCAATAAAGTTTGGCAACATTTCCAATGCAGTTCCACATTGGTACATCAAAATGTGCAGGTGGTATAATTCTGGCGCACCTCAAGAGTTCTTTAGAGCAACCCCATCTCCGAAAAGGATACACATCCTTGGTTTTTGCACCTGCCAGAATTATATTCCTTTTTCTTTTTAAATCAAGTCAGAGAAAATCTATTGATGTGGTAGCTAAGGATCGACACTGATTTAAAGGCACATGATCAATCCATTGTTCCCACCCCCCAAAAAAACGGAATACAAATACTCCTGATTAAAGTTCTTAACCCAACTTTAAAAGTATGTGCTTTATTCTTTTTACAAAAAATAAAATGCCTGTTGCAATATTGTGGGGTGGATTTTTAACCAAAATAGCTGGCAACCCCCACTCTCCCTCCCAGTAATGAAATTAGCTGATTGTTTGTCTTTCTGTTTTCAGGGTGCAAACCAATCACTGCTCGTAAGTTTATGCAGGTAATATTCTAACATTGTTACAGAGAAAGAACAAAAGGCTATATCTCCATGGGCGCCAATGATAGGGACCCCTTGTAAGATTTTGGTATCCTTACTTATATAACTTTTGTGCCAAGAACGGTTGGTAAAATGGGGTAAAATTTACTTAACAACTGTCCCACTTTGCAACAGAAATTTTGGACTCAACTATCGCTACCTATATTGTAGTCTCCGCTGCATTGTTATACTGTGCTGGATGCTTTGGTGCTTGGGGAGTTATTTACCAGTATTAGATTGTTAGATTTGTCTTATGTTCAGTCTTTAAGCTTATTCCAGTTCCAGAGGCTTGTTTATAATCGGATATCAGTGAAACGGCGTAGATAAGCTTAGAGGAAATACATACTGTAAATAATAACCAATACATTAACCAAAATTCTGCCTTTTGATTTCCTTTGAGGTCATTGGCTCTGGGGTATCCAGTCTTTTTGCCTTAGGGATCGGTTACTCCACCAGCTTTTGCCAAGCAGTAGCCTTCGCCTCAGCCAGTATCGGACTTCAAACTTTCAACCACAGGTAAACAACACAACTTCTTAATGTAAAGCATGCTGGCTGAGGAATTCTGGGAGTTGAAGTCCATGCATGTTAAAGTTGTTAGGCATGAAAAACACAGGTATATCATTGTGGCCTATCGGCCGCTGGCCCATCCAGCATCCAAATCAGATGAGGAGGCGGTGTGGGCATCAGGGCCAGCATCAAGTCAAACAGAGCTCCGAGGGAGAAGCAGGAATGTAGCTGGCAGAGAGACAGAGGTGGAGCCCGGGCTGTCCGTCAGCCCTCAGATGGACAGTCAACAGGCCCCAGGTCTGGAGATGGCTGATGTGGAAGAAGAGGAACAGCTGGGTCCAGTGCCTGGCACACAGATGCACAGAAAGCAGAGGAGAGGAGAGCAGTGGAAATCTATGGGCCGGTCCTTGGGATGGAAGAGCCACCGCTGCTAGCGAAGCCCCACCCTGGCTCTGGGGATAAAAGGCAGGGGGCGGAGACGAATGGCAGAGCCCTATTCATCTTCCGGACAGACGGACTTGTTAGCCTGCGTTGAGAGAGAAACTTTTTGCTAGCGTTGCTGGCGCTTCTAATAAAGGAAACAATCAAATTTTAAACTCATTTCAAATGCTGCCAATTTAACTGGTAATTGAGCTTTGATTGTAAGTCATCTTTATTTTTTTTTCTACAGTGGCATCTCAGTCAATATCCAGGATCTGGCTCCTTCGTGTGCTGGTTTATTGTTTGGTGAGCAAAAACTACTTTTATATGTACACACACACACACACACACACACACACACACACACACTCTTTCCATTTCCGGGATGCTTTTCCATTTTGCCAGTAAAGATTATGCCCTGGGATCCCTGATTAGGCTCCCATCCAAATGCTAACCTGGCTTAATCCTTCTTAGCTTTTGAGATCGTCGTATTCAATGAGCTACTTCTGAGATCCTTGTTTTGTAGTCAGTCAGGAAAAAAATCACCCTAATTATATCACCACAAAATATCAAGGCAAAGTTGCCAGGAAGGGATCAACATGTAGCCTTATACCCATTTTTTTTTTTTTTTTGTAATTACAAAGATTCTGGCTTTTTGTAAAAATCTGGATTAACACAGATTATTGGAACCATTAAAACAATCTTTAAGACATCCCGGCTGGTAATTATCATGGGTCAAGAATAATTAGAGAGCATGAATAAGTTAACTAATCTTTGTTAAGCCACCAAAGTCATACGCACCTGGTTTCCTGGTATCATGCCTTAAGATCTGAATGACACACATTTCACAGGGTGTGAATGAACGTCACTGGACGAAAGAATGGATGGATAGAAACAATGAAATTGTAGAGAAACATCCTTTCTCCTTCTGATGATTTTAATCAGAGGGATTTGAGGGAAAAGAGCTAGGGAAAAGGACAAGTCTCAATTCTCTTTGTCTTGGCCAAACAATGGATTCAAAAATTGTTGCCCCTGTGATACACCTTATTTTTCAATTTAAGGTTACCATAATAGAGAGTTTTAACAGTGTATAGATTATCTTTTTTTAATATATTTTTTTTATTTATACAAACATTCTATCTTTCATTTGAACAGTGTGTCACCTGGGTATAAATATCTTGTGCAATAACCATTATAATTTATACATATTCATTGCTTGACTTTAATACTCTGTTCTTACTTAATACTAATCTGCATTATACATATAATAATAATAATAATGATGATGATGATGATAATCTAATAATACATCTAACCCTAACAAACATTCCCCATCTTAACATTTTTAATTCTTACCACATGTTTACTATTTTGTGCTACTCTTCTTTAATTTCTAACTTCCATATTTATTTTCCAACCATTGATAAAATAGACCCCATATCGTATAATATTCAATTTCTTCCTTCTCTTGTATTGGTAGTGTTAACCTATTCATTTCTGCACAGTCTAATATTTTTCTAATCACATTCTCTTCAGTCTTCACTTTAACAGTACATAGATTATCAATGATGGCTTGAGAATTGCAAAAGGATTCAGGATTATTATTTGTAGGGCCCAAAGGAGAGGAATTATGGTAACATCCTCATAAAGAAGAGGAAAAGAAGTAAGAACGAGTAGAATGATAAATTTTCTTTTTGACTGATTTGACAGGAAGAAACTATTCAAAGAGATGGAGGCAGAGATGACAGAACAGAGATCCGACTGGAAGGATATAAAATACTTTTTGAATTTATACCTTACCTTCTTTCTTTATCTTTCCTTAGGTGTGGCAAATACAGGTGGAGCTTTACTAGGTATGTTATGGTGTTTCAAACAATTAATCATTCTCCTAATTGTTTCTCAGCTCTACTTGTATCCATAGGACCAACTGGATGGACTATTAATTCGCTTCCAGTCCACTGCTAGGAAATAACAAATGGACTACTAAGGGAATTTCCCCCTCTAAATGTGCATGTATATTAACCCATAGGGTATAGCTGCAATATTATTATTAACTCTCTTTAATCCCTCCCCCATTATTAGCTGTGCACATTATTAATATGCAGGCTGGGGGATTCTGGGAGATGAAGTCCACAGGTCTTAAAATGGCCATTGTTGGGAAACCCTGTTCTAAGTGGAGTAACTGTTCTTGAGCCAGCACCCTCAATTATACCCAGAAACAAACCACCAATTCCTGCAACTCTTGTGGTACTGCTGTGACAATGAGACAATGTTAGACTGCTCCCATTGATGGGTGAGCAACTATATTCTTCCCAGATTGCAGTTTCTGGGTAGTCTCCAAGGACAGCCCCAGTTGGAGTGAGTTGTAGTAATCTAAACCTGTTTGTTGTCAATGGAATAGCTCAAAGTAAGAATCTCTGTGTTGAAACAAGGTTGTTAAAAGAGAGAGAGAGAGAGAGGGAGAGGGAGAGGGAGAGAGAGAATCACTTTTGTGTTTTCTCCCTGCACACAGGTGTCATTTGTGTGTACCTAGCTGGGCACCTCATCGAAAACACTGGCTCCTGGGTCTCCGTTTTCAATCTCGTGGCCATCGTGAATACCGTTGGACTTTGCACATTCCTCATCTTTGGAAAAGCTCACAGGATGGACCTGGATCCAGCCTACACCGATTTATAAACCCACCCGCAGACTTAGAGGGAAGTGTCAAGATTTTGGAATGGAGAATGTAAAACAGAATTCCAGGAAAATACATACTAGCCATGGAATGATGAAAGTCCAAGCGTTAATCGGTTAGCTCCAGTTTTACTAGCCAACGGCTAATCTTTTCCTCCCAGATGTTTGGCGTGTGTTTCACCTCTTTGATCCGGTGCTATTCCTCCATTATGCCAAAGAGGGTTCGCCCCATGTTTTGGTATTCTAGCCAACGTTGGACCCATGTTGGCTGTCCTAGTTGGGAATGATAGAAATCCAATAGATCTGGAGAGACCAGGATCAATTGTGTGAGATGACCTGAGGAGAAGTTTAAATGTGCTAACTTTGACTCCAATGTCCTTTGCGACAAAAGGTCATTACATCACAGGCACACTCCCAAAATATGCAACCAGGTGGTAGAGTTTGCTCCTTCCTGTATGATAGGAAATGCAACGATTTTCCCATACTCTCCCCCGCAAAAATTATTTTTTCCAACATTCATGATGATCACCGGGACTACAGCAAAAACATATAGAATTCTAATGTATGTTTTGATCCTCTTTTGAGGAGTTTTGAAAGCCGTCATTGTGACTGTCCTAGGCTTTAACATGGTTTATCATTCTAAAACGCCTTGATGTTGGCTTTTCTTGCTTTTGTTTTCTTTGGATGTATAGGTAGATCACATAATTATTTATCCGTGCTTCTCAGGTGATGTATGTACATCAAAGTTTGGCAAAGTTCTGGTTGTAGAATCCTCCCACAATGAACCAAGGAATGGCAAGGAATTCGTCATATTTCCGTTGAGATCAGCAAAATCTCCTCCTTCCCTTGAGGCCTCCTGCAAAATCTCTCAAACCCATGAATTATTTGCGTATCATTCTAGTGTACCTACATAGAGGTGAACAGCTATCCCCTTATTACAATTATGAACACATAGGTACACTCTTACAAAAATTTTGGACCAGTTCTCTTACAAAAACATGGGGTGGAGACCTAGTTAGTTATCAACAGTATTGCCCATCAGTTTTTCACAGCCTGAGGTCCTTTAGATGTTTTAAGTTACAATTCTTGTCACCCCAAGGGCCAAACCCATTGTCAACAATGGCAACCCTAGACCAGAAGGTCTAAAAGACCTTGACTCAGAAAAAAATACAACCTACTGGTGAGTGAGTGAGCAGATTATACAAAGTCCTACGGTTATAGGACTGTAATCCATATCATATCCAATAAGGCAGTTCCATGTTCTCATCTTCCTCTGACACCATGAGTGAGACAGAAGCAGCTATCTTGAGCTTTCTGGGAGGTCTAGACAGATCTGGACAGCATAAAAAGTCCAGAGTGTGCCCACCAGAATTGTCTTTCTGATTGCTGGAAGAACAATTTCATCCAGATTCAAAGTTCATATGAAAGAGAAGGTTGGAAGACATCAAGAGATGAGAACCTTGGTTTTGTGAGTTGCATCTCCAGGGTCAACCTTCTGCAACTGTTGGTCTATTGGATTTGAAGTATGGGCAGATGTTATCCGATACATCTACAAAGCTCCTTTAGCTTAAGATGTTCATTCTCACGGGACTTCGGTTTCTTAAAAATGATAAAACATTTTAAAGCTTAGGACAGTCACAATGACGGCTTTTTCATTCAGGATGAAAAATTATCAGGGTGTTAAAAATTCACCCTCTTGTGTTTTTATCAATTGTTGGAATAAGAGAAACCAAGTCGACAGATATGGAACCTAGGTTCAATGAGTGGGGGGTGAGTTTCTCAGATTGCTAAACGATGAGAGATTCTACTGTAACGGTGGTCCCAGGTCAAAAGAATATTGTGTCTTCCGATCTCTCTGTCCTTGAAAGCATGAAAGCATATTTGGTCCCAAAACATCTTGTTCTAACTGTGGTTCCTGTGATTTCAACACCCATTCTATATTTCTCCAGCTGACTCTTAACAGCAGTGGTCAGTGATGCTGCAGTCAGTGGGGGGGAAAAATGTGACTTGACAAGAGTTATGTTCTATTGTTATAAAGAGGAAAGATATATTGGATCCAGTGTCTTTTTAATCCTGAACAGTCTTTTCACAATTGAACTGTTCGCACGATTCATTCCAGCAGGGCTGGGCAGCCGATGGGCCTGTAGATATCACCAGACTACGTTTCCCAGCATCCCTCATCCATGCCGCTTTAAGCACACAGGCTTCCCATTCCTGCCTCAGTTGTGCCGTTGGCAGCTATTGAATCATGACCTCATTTAAGCCCCGCTTTTAATGTCCCCTGTGGACCACATGGACTTCACCGAGGTTGTGGCTTATGAAAATGGTAGGTTGGAATGCCAGGACATGGAGCCTCTTTTCGGTTCTCGCTGAATTTCATCTGCCCAAAGAATGGAGGCAAATCCAAGCAAAGCCAGCCCAGTATTATTTAAATAAAAAGTTGAGATGTTTTCCCCCCCACCGCCATCATACGTGAAATATTGTGGATTGTAATTACTATTTATGTTACTGGAATCTTTTCAGAGAACATAGAACACAGAGTAATAGAGCTGAAAGGGATCTTGGAGGTCTTCTAGTCCAACCCCCTGCTTGAGCAGGCGATCCTATACCAGGGGTCTCCAACTTTGCTGGCTGAGGAATTCTGGGAGTTGAAGTCCACAAGTCTTAAAGCTGCCAAGGTTGGAGACCCCTGCCCTATACTATTTCAGACAAATTGTTGTCCAGTCTCTTATTAATATTATTAATGAATTATTATTACAATTAATTTATTTATTAATAAATTAATATTAATGTCTTGATTTATCGTTACATTATTAATAAATTATTAATAAATAATAAATAAATTATTAAGAATCTTTTTTATTAATAAGCTGCTAAACAGCTAAATGCAACAAATCTTTCTGGCTTCTCCTTTGCTCAAAGAATGGAAGAATCTGGGTGGAAAAATGTGGTTCAGGAAGGCAGCTTTCGGATTGATTGGTGATTGATTGATTGATTGATTGATTGATGTTTAGGTGTCCCATGGGAAGATCTGAAGAACAGGTTGGGAACAGAGCGTCCTAGAGGAAATCTGTGTAGTCACTAAGAGTTGATTCTGACTTGATATGATCACTCAATCCGCATTAAATTAACAGAATCACAGAATGACAGAGTTGGAAGCAGTGGCAGAAGTCAAACTTTTTTACTACCAGTTCTGTGGGCGTGGCTTGGTGGGCGTGGTGTGGTCTGGCTAGGTGAGCGTGGGTTGGTGGGCATAGCAGGTGAAGGATATTGAAAAATGTCCATTCCCACCCCAGTCTAGGGGAAGGATACTGCAAAATCCCCATTCCCTCAACACCCCCACTAACCTGCTTTCCAGCTCCGTTCTCCTGTGCAGGGCAACCAGAGAAGACCCAGCCGATCAGCTGGGACTCAGGAGGCAGAGAATAGATGGGGGCGGGGCCAGTCAGAGGTGGGATTTGCCAGTTCTCCGAACTACTCACAGTTTCCCCTACCGATTCTCCAGAACTGGTCAGAACCTGCTGAATACCACCTGTGGTTGGAAGGGACCTTGGAGGTCTTGTAGTATTCTATATTACTTCAAATGCAACAGATTTGTTTGTTACTCTGAGGTAATGTCAAGGTAGATGTTTAGCTTGCTTTGGAAGTCTGCTAAATAGGGATCTGTTAAATTGTGGTTTCTTTCTAAAATAACTCCTCCCATTATAATCAATTAATTTTGCTTTGAATGCCAAACAACGATCATTTGTAGATTTCAAACAGAATTATATCTGGGTGTCAGTTATGATGCATTTAAGTGGAAATGAGTAAAAGCAAATCTGTTTGCAAATGCCAGCAGAGGGAGCTGTAAGATCTGAATTGTCTGAAGATGCCTGTCTTTATGGTGAAAAGGCTGTTTAAAAAAAGCAGCCACTGACAACATTCAGGGTCATTTACACTTCTTCAATTTTAAATCCTACTCAGAATTGCAAAGGTCCTTCCTTTATAATATTTTATGTGGGCTCTATTTAACGCTGCTGCGAGTTAGAGCTGCTTGGGTCAATTGATGTTCTTTTAATTGTCTCGGATGGGTTGGGTTGTCGCGCATTTTGTTGAAAGCGAAGATTTGCAAACATTCATCAGTTGCCAAGTGTAAATGTAAAAATTCACAGGCTTCTGTGGATCAGTTGAACTGTCTTTTCGCAGATTTTGAGTCCGACTGTTAGCAGTCCAATGGGCTTTGGCCATGCTTTCTTTTTAAACTCGGAAAAGAAAAATAAGCTCTTATTTTGAGTATTGGTTGCGTCTTAAGTCCTTTGTATGCCTTTCCCTTGTTGTTATTTTTTCTTTCTCCTTTTTCTTATTATTTTTCATTCTTGTTCTGATCTGGGATCACAGTAATCAACGAACAGATGGCCACACTTATTACCCATCTGCAGGGGTGGGATGCAAATATTTTTACTACTGGTTCTGTGGGCGTGTCTAGGTGGGAGTGGCCAGGTGGGCATGGCCATGTGACTGGGTGGGCGTGGCTTCTTTTTTTGTGCAACACCCCCCCTCCCTCTCCATTGAGTGTTTTCTTTTTGCCTCCTGGGCCTCAGGGAAGCTTTCTGGGCGAAGCAGTAAGACAGCGAGCGGGATCTCAGCACAGCTGATCATTGGAACAGCTGATTGTCGGGTGAGAAAAAGAACAAAAAGAAATATCAGCTATTTTTTTTACTACCGGTTTGGCTGAACAGTAACATTTTTTACTACCAGTTCGCCCGAACCAGCCTGAACTGGTAGAATCCCATCACTGCGCATCTGTTTTGGTTAGGGACAGTGATGATGGTAGCAATATGCTTGTTGGTTTTTGGACCCTGTAGTTCAAAGTTACACAGACTCCCCCCCCAAAAAAGTGGTATTTGCAACCTAAGTATCAAGCCTGAAATTGACCTATGTGTAGCCATTTTAGTTAGGCTTAGTATATATTCTTTTTCTTAATTTCTCTTTGGCAGTTATGGGAGAAGGGTTTCGGGCTTGCCACATTTCTAAGAGGGGAGGAGTGGAGATAGAGAAAGTTGTTTAGGCGAGGTGATTCTTCTTCCCGTGGGAAAACGAGCTGTCTTCTTCTTACATCTTACTTCTATTGGAGTATGTGACTTTTGGGGGTTGTTTCTAACTTCTAATATTGTGGGGTAATTCTGGGTTGTGTCAGATTCGGAATTACCATGGACAATTAGATGCTTTCCCAAATAAAATAAATTGTCTTGGAAGATGGATTTAGTTCTTTTCTTTTTAAAATGGATTTCATCACTTGGAAACCTGACATTAAGGAGAAGAAATGGCAAAACCTAGGGGTGGAGTTAAAAGAGGGAGCAGCCTAGAATCCCTATGTAGCCACAAGCATCAGTCCGTAGAATTCTAAATTGATCTTTCTTTTAACTTCATCCCCAAGTTCTATGGCTTCTTCCCCTATTGGCTTTCAAGCTCAAAGGACCACCGCTTCCTGTTATCATGTGATTGCATTTTGGGCACTTGGCAACCAGCCTGCATTTATGCCATTTGCCATGTCATGTGGCTACATGACCACAATTGACAACTTTTATTTTGCCAGATACTGGCATTTACTTTCAATTTCTGGTAAAACTGGTTATTGGCTAAAACAGGTTCGCTTAATGACGAATGGACAAATGGACAA